TCCACAGGGACTGGGTGTAACTGTTTCTTTTCAAATTCACAATAACAAAGGGGGTGTTTTTGTGCAGAAGGTGACAATCAAAGAAATTCAAATAAAATCTAAGAAACTACTAAAAATTAAATAACAAATTACTAAAATCAAATGGGTGATAATTAAGGATCTAGCCAAGAAATAACTTCAGCAATGGTGCACTTAATTGATCATCGAAACAAAGGCAATTCCAATTATTTATCAATAAATAGGTTATAACTACCAAACAAGCGATGACAGTCAACCCCTCCTTACTATGTCGGTGATTAAGGTATGCCCGTTAATCTGCTCTAATTGAGAAATAATCCTAGGTACGCCCATAGAATTTAATTCCCCAATTGCCTTACGTATTAGAGGAGCCATATTCTAACCAAATAATGCACTACTAGGGTTATTTCAGATTAGCCCGCGTATTCCCCTGACACAAACCCAATCATGCCAGTTGTCACTATTTCAAGGCAATTAAACAATTACGGATTTAATGCCCTAATTGACAATAGATTACCAAATTAACTAATTATCCGGATCCAAGACAATCAATTAATTAAATAATCATAAGCACTACAATCCAGGAATATGCGAATACCAATAAATAAAAGAAAAAGATAAAATTAAATCGATCTCACAATTTTTAGGCGATCCAAAGCATCCGTTGTTTCTTGACTAGGCAAAGGGGTTTAGCTCATTGTTGATGAGAAAAACCCATACAAAACTGAAGTGATAGCTGCGGCCATTATGTGGCAGGAGGAATCCACTACAGGTCACAAGGAAAAATCAAACGAAAAAACTACAGGGAAATGATTCAATGCTTCAATTGCTCCTGACATCCGAGAAGACAAAAACTACTAAGATGCAAAGGAAGGAAAAGTCAAAGCTAAAGCTCTAGAGTAGTGCTCTCCTCCTGCCATTTCTAATTTCTCTCTAATCAGCCTCCCCATGTGCGGCGGCTCCCATTTCTTTTAGAGGAAGACTTCCGCCGAATGACCAAAAAGGGCTTGTGTCTCTTTTGTTCCCAAAAATGCCCCTGCATGCCTTCTATTTGAATTCTTTCCCGATGATTGTCAAATTGGCATTAGTTGTGGTATTTTCGATCTACTCCCTGAAATAAATGCAAATTATGAAAAGTGAATAGAATCTAATAATTAATCCACATCGGGTCAGGTAATAGGGGAAGTTAATAATAAAATAAATGATAAAATTGCAACCTATCATTCGCCAAGGGGATCCGCTCTCACAATCTCTCTTTGTCATAGGTGCTGAAGTCTTGTCTCGACTTCTAAATTCCTTGATTGGGCAACAGGTCTTTGTCCCTTTTAAGGTTCCACTAGGGTGCCCGGTTGTAACCCATTTAGCTTATGCAGATGATGTGATTATTTTTCTAGTGGAATGAAGAAGTCGTTACAGCTGATTATGAAGGTGCTAGAGGATTATGCGGTAATCTCGGGACAGAAGGTCAATCATAGTAAGAGTTGTTTTTTGTCTCATGCTGGTCTCTTGGGTGTGCGGTGGCACATTGTTGCACAAATCACTGGCTTTCACGCACAATCCTTCCCAGTAAAGTATCTTGGGTGCCCGTTATACTCTGGAAGATGGAAGAAGAGTTATTTTGCAGCTTTATGTACTTCAGTTGTTAATAGGGTGCTATCGTGGAAAGAGAAATTAGTATCGTACAGCGGCAAATTGGTTTTGATATGGAGTGTGCTTTCTTCTATGCCTATCCATAATCTTGCGGCTTCCAATCCTCTTAAGGGGATACTTAGTCTATTGAAGAATATTTTTGCAGCTTTTTTACAGGGTGCTTCAGATTTTGGGCCACGTTTTCATTAGATCAAATGGGACCAGCTGTGTAAGCCTTATGGGGAGGGAGGTGTGGGTTTACGGTCGTTGCAGCATGTTTTTTATGCTTTTTCTCTGAAGTTGTGGTGGAAGTTCAGGCTGCGACAATCATTATAGGCAGAGTTCATCCATTTGAAATATAACTCAAATTTGCATCCTTGTTATTCCGAGGTTTGTCCAGGGCAATCTGCCACTTGGAGAAGGATGTTGGACGGTCAGGTGGTGGCGGAGAGGCATATAAGATGGGTATTGGATAGTGGAAACTCAAGTTTTTGGCACGATAATTGGTTAGGATCAGGGCCGCTATGTCGACAAGTAGAAATTTTTCAAGAACAGTCAGTTGCGGATTTCGAGGTTCAAGGTTGTTGGGATTTGCAGAAGTTATATAATGTTTTGCCTACGCGCTGTGTGCAGAGGGTCTTGGATGCTGCTCCACCTTCTTCGGATCAGGTGGGCATATTTGTTTGGTTTCCAAGTAACTCGGGTGAGTTTTCTATAGCGTTGGCCTATCAGGTAGTGCGGCAAGGTGGTAATAATTCTAGACTCTTTTCTTTTTTCTGGCATCGGGTCTGACCGTTGAAAATTTCCTTTTTTATGGTGCGATTAATGAATGGTAAGCTGCCGGTTATGGGTGTATTGCATAAATTTGGTGTATTAGGCCCGTCTCGTTGTTTTTGCTATCGGCATCCTTCTCAAGAAACTATTAACCATATTTTTTGTATTGGTGAGGTTGCTAGACAACTCTGGAGTTTCTTTGAAGTGTTGATTGGCGGGTTTGGTGAAACTTTCTCGATAAGGCATAAGGTGATTAATTGGTGGTTGAAATGTGGTCGAAGTCCTTATATTGGGTTCTTATTTCGAATTTTGCCCTCCTTGATTTGCTGGAACTTATGGAAAATGAGAAATAAGTTTGTTTTTGAAGGGAGGTTGTTGACTATGAAACAAGTTTGTGATCGAGTTTTTAATGAGCTTCAAGAGAGTTTTGGCGCTCAGTTTTGGGAGATTAGTACACCTAGTCCATCATGGCCTAGTTTCTTTGATGCAGTAGCCGGGTTGAGAATTTCTATGAATGTGATGGATGTTCAAGGGGTAATCCTAGGAGGAGTGGAGAGGGGAGGTTTGTTCAAGGATAGTGATGGGAGGGTCCTGTTAGCATTCTCCTGTTATTTTGGGGAGATGACCAGTTTATAAGCGGAAGTGAAAGCGCTACTCCATAGGGTGCGGTTAGGTATAGCTTGAGGACTGGCCAATTTACATTTGGAGTCTGACTCGTTGTTCTTATCCAGATTATATAGGGGAGAGCTAAGTGTCCATGGGTTGTGCAGCAGGAGTTACAAGAATTGTTGCAGTATAGCCATCACTACAAAGAGATTTCACATTTAGTAGTTACCCTATTAGCAAGCGTAAAGAGAATTGACAATTAGTTATATAGTTCTAGACAATTCTTACTTCTTTTAAACCTTGTTGCGAATTTCATAGGTTACTATTGCAAAAAGAACCAAATTATTGGTAGAGCTGGATAGATATGGGTTCATTGTCCTTTTGGCAGAAGAAAACTTCCATAGATTCACTGCACGACGTCATATTCCTAATTTTCGTAAATTGACGGAGTAGAAACAAAGTTCTAACACGGCTGTCTTTCTTTTTATCTTTTGTTTCTTTGATGATAAATCATTATAATATCATTAGTTATTATCTTTGCATTGTAATTAAATAAAAACTTAAAAAAACTTATATGCAAAATGCTCTTTAGGATTTTGATAGAATCTAGGGAAAAAATCCTCTCGTTCCGTCCTTGATCAAGACTCTGTCGCAGACAAGTTTAAATTTTTCACGAAGTTATTTGCAAATTTGTAAGCATGAGGCATGGTCAATCCTTGATTTCTTTCCATGGATGGATCTTTTCACTTCAAAGAAGTAGGGTACACTGCCTATATCTTTCCTTTGGGTAGGCAACTTCTAGTATGCCTCTCTTGGTTGCTATGTACATTGAGTTTTAGCTCAAAATTATCCATCACTAGAAAAAGTCAACTCTCGAACTTACTTTGGACAAGATTCGTAGACGGTGGGGTTTCATGCATACGCAACTTGGGTCAATGCTGTCGAGATTTTAACATCTCTACCTATGATAGTTGGAGGCAATTTACGAGCTAAACTATGAGCGTTAGAAGTCTGGAAGATTTTACTTCTTCCTGCTACACATGTACCTTGCCATATTTAGTGTTCTAATGTACTTGTTTGATTGTTTGCTAGCAGAATTATATAAATTTGTGTCTACTTATATTAACATCATGGGTTGTGTATTGATAGGTTTTACTCTCTTTTAAGAGATTCTTCTCTTCTCGAATTGGCAATTGGAGTATGCATAGAAGTTGTATCGTGGGTTGTAATTCAAATTCAAGGGACAAATTAAATAGCATAACATACCAAGAATTAGCATTTAACCATCTATTGGTTCAAAAAGACAAGACATAAGTGCGATACTAATTTATGCCACAAGAAGTTTAAAGTACATGGCTTGCAATACTACATGGTACTTGTCCATTGTAAAAACTAGATATTTCTAATATATTTTAGGACTTATTGTTTTTTTTTTAATAAACAGCAGGTTTTGAATTCAGTACCTCCTAATTATAATCCCTATCACTGTACCACCTAACCTAATCCTCCTTGCTTTTGTGATGCAAATGCCACTTTTCTTGGATCCATTCATGAATCACCAGATTTGACCTTTTCTTCTATGTGAATTTTTTCTTACTCAATAATATGTTTGACATTCTACTAAATGTAATCAAAGTCACTCCAAATTCCAAATTGATTGACAATAATATCTCAACATATTCTTGAATATGGGACGTCAACGTTATCCCCTCCCTAATGGTCAACTTCTATCTCTTAAGACATAGAAGAGAATAGAGTAAATGCTTTTGGCATATGTGTCTATTTCTTTAGTTGCCTTAAAAGGGTCTGCAATTTATGATATTATGGAATTTGTACTAATCAAAGTAATATTCTCTTTAACGCCCAACCACATCCCGGCCGATGCCATGACCCATTTGACGGCAAGTGGCAAACATTTTCCTATAAATAGAGGTCAATCTACACAAGCTTTCTCATCCTCCTAAAATAAATTTTGATTATATAAAATAATTTGAGCAAAAATGAGTTCCAAGAAATTTCTTTTCTTTTGCATTTCCTTGGCTTTAGTTCTAATGATTACCTCGCAGGTGGCCGCTGGGGAGTTGGCCGAGACTTCCAATTCAGTTGACAATTGTAAGAATTTATTCTCCAATTCCCCAATATTGAAACTTCTCGCAATTTGATCCACTTATCAGAATAGGGTTATACCGTAGCTCATGGTATCATAATAGAGAAATTCCATCTTGTCTTACCTGTCTAGGTTTTTGTGTAGCATATGTTAATTTAAATCTTTGGACCACAGAATTGAACATTTCAATTTATGTATATAATTTCGGTTGTACATGTGACGGGTCGGAGTACTAAGAAACATAGCTGACCTTTAGATACACGTTCGATAAGCTGAACATTTAGGTGTCAAGCCTTTCCTGAAGCTAGACTTGGGGTGTAATACTGGTTAATACATGTTTTCTCTTATTCTCAATTCGATTAATTTTCCTTCTAGTTACGCCGGTTGCGTAATTCTTATTTTTGCATAAGTATGGATATACAACATGTAACTTTTAGCCAAGTTTAAAACTTTAATTTTATATGTATGACCTACATCCAAGCGTACTATTACGAAAATTCTTAATATTGATAGTGTATAAAAAATTAATTACAAGAATTATGTTTACTATAATAAAATTCTCTATAAGTTTGTAGTGATTAACCATGTTAAGAGAATTTGTAAAAAGAAAAATGACACTAATTTTGACACGTTCGTTGTAAGACAGAATTTCAAATGATAATGATACTTAATTGATATGATATGCGTTAACCAAAAACATGCACACAAATCTGTTCAAAATTTACTATTCAAAATTGATACCGAATTAATTAACGTGCATGCCCTATTTATGCTCATTGCAGCCAAGACAGATGAAGCAAATGGCCTAAAAGAAGCCAAGTACCTAGGTGGCTATGGTGGGTACCCCAGAGGAGGATATGATGGTTATCCCGGAGGGGGGTATGGAGGGTATCCTGGAGGAGGTTATGGGGGATACCCAGGTGGTGGATATGGGGGCTATCCAGGAGGAAGGTATGGTGGATATTCTGGGGGTGGATATGGAGGGTATCCTGGGGGTGGCCGTGGTGGTTATGGTGGAAATTGCCGCTTTGGTTGTTGCGGCCGAAACTATTATGGTGGGGTTGCAAGTGCTGCTACTATCCTGGTCAGGCTGTGGATGCTGAGCCTCAGAACTAATAAAGCCAGCTCCTAGCAAGCTCATGAATGCTTAAGCAAGCTCACTGGTGATATATAGCAGTACTTAGTAGTGTGAAGTGCAGATAAGAGCTTGATGAGTGATGTAATATGTGTAATCATGTGTGACTTCTGTGAGCGCTTTATATGTAATGGCAATACATTTTCATGCAATTTGAAGATGGTTCTGTAATTTTCGACCATAGAAGACTGAGTAATATTAGTATTCCATTAGAAGTTGGTTTATCTAAATGAGTTACCTATTATCAAATTGCTTTTTATTGCTGTTTTGGGTATGCTTAATCGATCAATCTAATACAAGTATTTGCGATAACGCATTTGACGAACTGAATCTTCTTAATTTCCTGTTCGGTTATGTGTTTACCTTACTCATGCACCTGTCTGTCAGATATAGTTTATAAGCTGAAAGAAATGATAAAACCAAATATTTAATCTAGCCATGGAAGAAATATGTGAAAGTTACTGATAGAACAGAATTTGTTTACTTAGTTTCAAGATCTAACTCTCTCAAATATGTCAACCATCTAATTGACTAGTTGACTATGAGAGATTAAAAATTGAGCTATTGTGGAATGGGAATATCTGTTATGAACTTGGTGCATAAGTGCCCTCAAAACACAGACATGTGGGCATCACTTCTGGGAGACCATCCTAATCACCATTCTAGAGGGCTCCAATTTTGTATAAATCAATAAAACTTAAAGTTCAAGAGCTCAAAACACTTAAGAGATACTTTCTACTACACTACAAAATCTGAAGTATATTTTGTTAGAGAATTATCCTGCAAGAAGCCAAAACTTGGCGCGCAGTTTCACTATCCCAAAAGAAAATTTGAAGTCCACATTGTCCGCGTGGGATACGAATGGTATCTCTGCATTCTATGAAGTATTGGTCTCTAATATATTCTATATATGATATTATTGTTTCTGTAATGCAATTGCTCCAGAATTATATTGGCTGTTGAGAATTTTTTCTTGGCAAGTATTCGTGCATTGCAAAGTTTGACATGTTCTTCATTTGTTATATATTATCTTTAGTGTAAAGATGTTTGACTTGTTATGCAACTTGGAATGAACATAATCAAGTCACTCCAAATTCCAAGTTGATCGACAATAATGCTTGAAATATTCATGAATGTAGGACATGAATTATTCTCTCCATAATGCTCAAATTGTTTCTCTAAAGAGATACAAGACAGAAGACCAGATTAAGTGCTTTTTGTATATCTCTATTCCTTTAATTTCTTCAAAGGGATTGCAATTTATGATAGTAAGGGCTTTGTATTAATTACAGCAATCATCTATTCAACGGCCAACTACATCATGGGCCAACGCGATGCAAACGAGTCAAGTCGAGTCGAGTTTTGACCTAATCGAGTCGAGACTTAATTTAGTTTTATCGAGTTTGAATTCGATGAGCTACTAATTTAAAACTCGAGCTTGAAAAAATAAAAAATAATTATTTTATTTTTTTAAAAATAAATAAAATAAATATTTTTCTTAATAAATAATAAAATATTAGAGATATATATGTAAAATAAAAATAAAAATATATATACTCAAACTCGCGAGCTTAATATTTTTGAGTTTGAGCTCGAGCTGGAATTCGATTTGGCCATCTCAAGTTCGACTTGAGTTCGATATTAATCGTGATCAACTCGAGTTTTGACTCGAGCTGCTCGCGAGCGGTTCAATTCATTTATAGCCTTAGCCAGGACGCGAGTGGCTCAATTCGTTTATAGCTCTAGCCAGGACCTTTTTAGCCGTTCAATTCATTTATAGCCTTAGCCAGGACGCGAGTGGCTCAATTCGTTTATAGCCCTAGCCAGGACCTTTTTTATGGCAATTTGGCCTTTATAAAATAGAGATCAATCTACTCCAGCTTTTTCGTCATTCACAAAAATCAGTTTCAATACTTAAAATACCTTCAGCAAAAATGGGTTCCAAGACACTTCTTTTCTTTTGCATTTCCTTGGCTACAATTCTAATGACTAACTCAGAGGTGGCAGCTAGGGAATTGGCCAAGACTTCCACGTCTGTTGACAATTGCAAGACATTTATCCTCTACTAATTTCTGCTTTTCTTAAAGGACCACAAAATATATCATAGTTCAAATTATGTACTTATATTTCAGTTATACATGTAAAGCATTGGTGTATTAAGACACAAATCTGAGCTCTTTAAAGTATAATAGACGTCAACTAAGGTGTACAAGCAAGCGTTCAAGGCTTCCCTGACGCGGGACTCAGGGCATAGTGGGTGGTCATCTATGGCAACGATAAGCCTACCTACGAGTTGGTTGCATTTAACCATTTTAAAGACAATATTTGATTTTCTTGGCACATAGTTTAGAAGGAAAAGACTTCCAATTGAGTATAAAATTATTGTTTTGGTATTCGTTAAACTAAAAGCATGTATAAAAATTAGTCCAAATATGAAAATTTCAAAATGTATGACGCCAAATGAATTAATGTGAAAATGTCATTTCTAGATTACAATAATAAACGTATTTATTATCCTCAGTGCAGCAATGACGGTTGACACGGATGGCCTAAAAGAAGCAAAGTACCCTGGAGGTGGCTACAGAGGGTACCCTAGAGGAGGCTACGGAGGTTACCCTGGTGGTGGATATGGGGGACTACCCAGGAGGAGGTTTTGGGGGATATCTTGGGGCTGGATATTGTCGCATTCGTTGCTGCGGCCAAAGCTATTATGGTAGGGATTGTAGGTGCTGGTCATATCCTGGTCAGGCAGTGGCTTGCTGAGCCTGAATGCTAACAGAGTGAGCTTCTAGCACCGCCACTAATGCATAGAGCTTGGGAAGGGATGTAATATGGACTGAAAGTATTCGGTAGTTTGAGATTTCTATTATGTGTCTCTTTTATGAGCACCTTTGGTGTAATGGCAAAATAATCTCATGCCATATGAAGTCATTTTAGTGGCATTGCACTAAAACATGTGTAATTTTTGTAGTCCAAAATACAACAAATTCAAGACTAATTTTGGTTGATTCATCTGTAAGTTAGTTAACCATTATCAAAGTGTTTTTTTAAAAAAAAAAATTTCTATTTTGGGTATACACAATTAACTAATCTAACCCAGATATTTGTGGTAATAGTTTTTACAAAGTCTCTGTCCATCCAATTTTGTTATATGTAACTAAAAAATAGATTAAAAAAAGCCCTTACCCTACCTCCACCTTCTCGGTCAAAATTAGTATACGAACTGAAAAGAAATGATAGAACGAAATATTGAAGGGTTAATTACATACAACCCCCTCATGGATTCACAAATTGCTACGTGATCTTTTTGACATTTCAAAAAATGTCCATATAACTCTTTTGTAGTTTCATGTAAAGTAAAAACTTAAAGAAAAGCAGTCTTTGTAAAATCATCAGTTGAAATACTGCTTATACTTGAGCACTTAACCGAATAGTGGTCCGATCATTTTACATAAAATCAGAGAGGGATTATATGGATAAAGACAAATATCACATGAGAGATAAAGTAAATATTTATGTAAATTATGGGAGATTAACTGATACTATAATTTTATCACATTCATTTCTGGAGTATGTCTGGTTGAATTGACATAATCATTTGTTCTTTCTGTTTATTTTTAACTTTACATAAAAATATAAAAAAAGTTATGTGAATACATTGAATCCCTACAAGAGTCGTGGTAATATGGAAAAACCCAGGTGGAGTCATGTGTAATTTACCCAATATTTAATCTGACCATACAAAAAATTCATGCTAAAAGCTCAAGTAGATGTTGTTTTGTTTACCTGGTTTCACGAAAACGTCAAAAATCTGTTTGACTAGTTGACTACGAGAGATTGAAGATTGATGTCAGCTATACAAAAAAGTAGTAGAGTACACAGAATTTGAGGCACAAGGATGTGTAACACTTGTGCATGAGCATGTTAGGTTTTCAAGAACCATATTTTGGATCAGCATATATGAAGGGTGATGCGACAGCCAAAAACGCAATCCGAGTTGAGTTGTGGCAAGCTGAGCGAGCTGAGGGTGACCGAGCTGACGGGAAGGAAGCGAGCGAGCTATCCTGCAAGAAAGAGTGAACGGCGGGGCTAGTTCCCCGGAGTAGCTCCGACGATCAAGTCAGTAAGAGCTTGTGAGTAGAGTAACCGTATAGAGTACTGTAGATAGCATACCTTGTGCTGCCTTGTGGTGCTGTATTTATAAGCTTGTGGATAGTAGTTTCCTTATAGGACCATGAGTCCTAGTAGAGAGGGGGTCTTTCTAGGGTTTCGCCTGCCAACTCCGAAAGGTTCGGGGGTCGCGGCCCACGAGGCCCATCCCGCTGAGAGGCGGCGGCCACGGCTGAACTGGCGCCCCTTACACCCGAACTGATCTGTCCGAGCTGACAGATCACCCAATCCAAACTGACACGTGGCATCCGTAGATTGGCCCTACTACAACGGGGTCCTTTAATTGATTGTAGTTTGTCGTTTTTCAATATCAGTCACATGACTATCTAATTTCATAAGCTTTAATAACACAATATAGTAAATAAATTCAGAGGACATAACTTTGTTCATTGCTTGAAGTTTGTTGCACACAACTGTCTCTAGTTCTACTCGTAAATGATCGATCATAAACCGACCTTTACCTTTTTTATCGTTTCTTTTTCCTGTCTGAAAGGAGTCAAAACTTAATGTAGGTTTTCGGAATCTCTAGGTGAAATCTCAAAGTGTTAAAGAATTTCTAAGCAAATACTACTTGAACAATTATGGGTATACTTTACACAATGATGCATGTGAGTGAATCCAAGTAGAAGTGCTAGCTGTTCAAAATTGAAGCACGCATAAGATTTCACTTTCATCCTATTGAAGTAGAAAAAAGTACATCATTATATGCAATAATTCATCTAATGGTGAATGGATACCACTGATTAAGTTCTTATTTTCATAACACAGTACATAGTTTTTGTACATATAGGCTCTTAATTTGCTCCAAAGGCATTGAAGCATCAGGATGCATAAGAGCTGGATGTTAGTTTTGCGGTTCAGTTTCTGGCTTAGCATCCACAGCCTCACCAGCAAATGTACAACACCTGCACCCATAATAACCTCGGGCCACAGCAACCATAGCGGCATCTGCCACCACGGCCACCACCACCATAACCACCACGACCGCCACCATAACCACCATCTGGGTAACCGCCATATCCACCTCCAGGGTACCCTCCATATCCACCACCAGGGTATTTGGATTCTTCC